TATAAACTAAAAAAACTGCTCTGCAACTTCTCCACGCGACAACATTTCTTCTCGCTTCGAATCACCGACATGTGGAACAGCCTCCCCGCTGACATCGTTGGCGCTCCAAGTATGAACGCGTCCAAGAACAGACTAGATAAAGCTATGGAAAAATATATGTTCAGACTTGAAATGCCTACCACCATATCGAACCCGGTCGAAGTCAGTAGCTATTTCAAACTATCGTCAGTCATGAACAGATACGGTCAAATGACACGAGTTTAGATCTATGAACAAGGCACGAAAAGGAAAAGAATCGGCGACAGGCCACATCAGGCCTACACTTCAGCGCCGATATCACTATGTTATGTATAAGTAATACACTGTTTGAATCCGCATATGTTCTCCGACTACATCCAAATTTATGGCTACTGTGCACCGGCTGAAGCCGCAATGTTGCAGGACCGGATGTTTGTGTGCATGGACGCCGTCTCAGACTGGATGCACCGGCCCCATCTCAATGAATCAAAAAAACGACTTTATTTGGTTTGCGACTGCTCGGCGCCAGCATCAGCTTATGGCCAACCCAGTTCGAGTGGGCAACGAGTTCGGGCCTGCGTCTTTGGTTTGCAACCTTGGCATTATGCTGGATTCTGAACTTTCTATGAACAATCATATAGCCAAGTCACCACCGCTTGTTTGGCGCTCTGCCACGAATACATAACGTCAGCCGCTGTTTCTCGAGACCCTCGAGGTGGCGCTCCTTCTGAGCCGATTGGACTAAGGTAATGGCCGCACTCTATGGAATTCTGACCATGGCACTGCAATCCGTAACTGCAATCCGTAATGAAATTTTACCACGTGATTCCGAAATTGCGCGATATTCACTGGCTGCGTATGCGCTTGGTGAAGAACATCTCGAGGATATCGTGTCGAGTTGTTGGCAGATGTAAATGCTGACTAAGCAAGTGCTCTGCGGCATACTGCACAAGTTTAGCTTCCTGAAGTTTTTCGAAGTCTAAACCCTCCAAATAAACATTTTGTGTCCAACGGGTACGTGGAAGATTGAAGTCTTCCCCATCAAGAAGTTAGAAGTAGGTGTCCTGGCTAGAATTTTCAAGGGCCACCTGAAACTGGCTGTCAAGAGCAACGGGGAAATAAATCACGTCGAGTCTTAATTTTTCCATGTGCACCTTCTTCTTTCTTAAGCTAATGGGGTTTTTGAAAGAAACGTAGCTTATGCGCTATTTGAACTTGAAGCGCACGCAGTTCAAAGTAGTTGTTCTGCATGACGTTCCGATGTACGCTTCACGGATCGTCTGCAGCGCATGTCGGATCTGCCTTCTAGTAGACGATTGCGTTTGTCAACAGCGGACCTCATCGTCCCATCTACTTGCACGTCATATCCACCGTCGGCGACAGAGCGTTCCCGGTCGCCGCCGCCGCCGCCAAAACATGAATCAGGTTTTGTTGCAGGTGTTTCGTCGACGCCTAAATTATGTTTATTCCGAAACCTGGGTGTTAGGTTTCAGTAGATAAATGCTGTATCTCAATAATAATAATAATAATAGCGATTTTAGCGTTTATTAGGCCGTAGGCCTGTCGCCGATTCTTAACATCGCAGAACATTCACAGCATTTTGCAGTCTCAAACTCGCAACTCACTGCTAGTACAATTCTACTGCGCATACATGCGCGGGCTCTTTGCCGATTCTGACCAGAAACTGGCGAACAGAGCTGGGATCGAACCAGTGTTGCCAGAAGGGCCTTTTTCGGGCCAAATTTCGCAAATGGGGCCTTTTTTTGAAATGCATTGGCCTGAAAAAATTCACTTGGCCTTTTTGTCCGTTTTGGACCTTTTTTATGAAAAATGTAACTCTCGGTTTTTTTATGATAATTTGGTCCTTCAATTTTATCCAAGACGAGTGCACCCAAATTCAGTTTTGCCCAAGACGAGTACACTCAAATTTTGACACGAAACTGTGTCAACACTTCGGTTTAGGTGGCAGGCCTCACTAGCGAGTGCCGCCTAATCTGGGCAACACTTTGGTTGAACCATGGGACTATATCCAATTGCTGACTCGTATTAATTAATTAAGAACCATGGACGGCAGAGCTAACAGAGCGTATAATCGAGTATAGTTTTCACTTCTAAAGAGCAGTACATTTAGTACTATTTTTTTGAGGTTACAGCACAGCTTCTCGATATATTCTGCCTTCTGGTGTGAGACACTTCAAGATATCACTTTGAACAAATAAATTTTATTTCCTATGCAAGTAATGATAGGCAATATATTATTTTCCTGCGCATTCAAAAGTTGTGATTAGCGAAGTAGCACTTCAAAGTCTTTCTGCATACGAATCAGTAGTGCGACACTAAACGACACTAAACATTGTAGAGCTACTTCGAAGTGCTTAGTATCTGTGACGTATTTAGCATACCAACAGGACACTTCGTAGTGCATAGTGCTACTTCGTAGTGCTAGTGCCCTATTTAGCATACGGGCCATAAAATGCATGCACTGCAAATGGTTAGAACTACCTTAAATTTAAAAATTTTCTATTAATTTCAAATGGGGCTTTTTTGTGAGTCAAATTGGCCTTTTTCTCTTGGCTCCATCTGGCAACCCTGGATCGAACGAACACGTGCCTTCCTGCGCCCAATCTTGGTACTGAACTTTAACCACTGTGCCACGTTGCCCACCACGGGCCACCCTGAGATTCAGCATTCTGAATCTCATTAAGGATAGCATGCTGCCCCATTTGGGGATTAGTGATGAGAAGAAATTTGACATTGAACAAAGCGTTAACCGTCGAAATGACAGAGTTTGGAGTCATGGATCTGTGGCAACAAGAGGACTTAGTTTCAGAGAGCTACCTAGTAGTTAGAACATTTTGTGAGTTTAGTTGCGACTATTAGCGGAGAAAGAAAGGAATTTGTGTGCGTAGCTAGAAAAATAAAAATAGTTTGCACGTCGACCTCCACTTAATTTTGAATCAAAAAGTTCTGAAGATATTGTTTTAGTGAACGATCATAAAACTCTTAGATATGAATGCCAACATTTGCTTGTAAATTATAGCACAAAAGGAAAAGAAATTAGCTGGCATAAACTCAATCGAATTTTTTCCCCAAAAACACCGTTGAGCACGATCACATATATGCCTATATTGAATTTTCGAAAAAATTCTATCACAATTCACCGTGTTGCAAGTAAATAAATAGTTTTGTATTGCTTCGGCACACTCAAAACTTGTACGTAACTCCGCTTACGACACCTCCGAGCAGGCGGAGAACTACGTACAGCTTCTTGTAAGTAGTAGCTCCTTGTAAGTAGCTTTTCCATTCCTCGGACACCTGAAAGCCGCCCGTTACCACAAAAAATTGCTGGCTAGGATGTCATATTACAAGGACTACAAGCTCGAGGGTAGCGACTAGACGAATTTAGGACAGATCGAGGATTTCACAGGTTGGTCGCGAATACATCGCTCTCAGACTTCGCCACACTCTGACTACGAGCCTTAATTAATATTCATCTCAGTCGGCTCAGGTGAGGCTAGATCAGTGGTTCCGAAAGTGGGCGATATCGCTCCTCTAGGGGCGGTAGAAAGATTTTGGGGGCGGTAAGGAAGAAAAGGGCGGAAGGGGGGCAGAAAGGGGGTGGCAGTCCAAGGTCGAAGTTCGAACGTTTGTTTGACGATTTGTACACAACATGTGCAGCACGTGACTCCCAGCGATGGTTTTTTCACCTAGATCTGTTTCTTTAACCTTTCCTGGGTTTCCGTCTCGGACAAATTAACGGCCGGACTCGCGGCCGGTCTCACAGCCAATTTCCAAATTCAATGCTCAAGGAATATCTCTCTAACTAGTGAACTCAAGTCGATGAAACTTGGTACACGTATTCATTAGGACCTAACGGTAATGTTTAGCTCGTAATATTTTTTTTTTTTTTAATTTTGCCTTAATTTGCTTTTGCCATAGTTATATGGCAATACGAGCCGAAATTCACAGTGATCAAGAAATTCCTTCCAACTACTGAGTAGATTTGAACGAAGTTTCGAATTTACAGTCCTAACTACTGAACGGTAATGTTTAGCTCGTGAAAAATTTTTTCGATTGTGCCTTCGTTCGCGAGTAACTCGCAAAAGAAAGCTAAATAGAAAAATTGTCACGAGTTAAACATCACCGTTGGGAGGTTAGGTATTTATATACAAATTTCGTTGAAATCTGTCAGTAGTTTAGAAGAATTTTTTTGATCGCCGCGAATTTAAGCGACAAATTACCCGGCGATACGGGCCGAAATAAGGAAGTGTGAAATCAAGAATGACTGTGAAATGAAAAAAAAAACTCGCAAACGAAGGTAAAATAAAAAAATTTACAAGCTAAAAACTCACCGTATGTTTTTAAATGTGTCTGTGGGGGCGCTAGAAATTCACTAGGGAGCCAAAGGGGGCGTCAGCCTGAAAAAGTTTGAGAACCACTGGGCTAGATGCATAACTGCCTGACTATGAGCTACCATGCTTGAAGAATGGATGGAACGGGCTATCTTTGTAAAAACAAAGCGAGCGAAAAAATATAGATAACGTTTGCATAAGCGTACTGTAGCCTAGATGAATAGCTCTTTTAATTTAGTCATGATAGAGTTCGATTTGACAAAGTTAGGAGTTCGGAAAAACGTCATAAATTCTTCTCAAAAGTTTTTGCACAAATGACGGAGCTGTTAAACGCCGGTTGTAAAGGCAAGTACTGGGGTAATAAATTAATTGTATCGAAAAAACTTCACTAAAATTACATCCCACAAAAATCCAAATCAAAATCGTAGAAATTTTATGCTAACTCGTGCATCTGTATCCGTGATGAGTTTAAAAATAAGAGTAGGCTTGCTTTTAAATTCCTTATATTTTTACGTTATCACGTAGCTAAATGAATTAAACGGCTTAGTTTACATAGATTAGTTTGACGGAGGGAGATATTTTGATAAGTCCTATGGAAATGTTAAAAATATTCAAAGGTTGTTTCACCGGGCTGTGCAGTGTCGAGTGAGCAACCGATTTGCGCCACCTGCAAGAAAAAGGCGCGGTATGCGTCATAAACAATTTTTGAAAAGGCAGTTAGAAAACTAGAAAATTCGAGAATAATGCTTCCCAGCTCAACAACCTATCCAACGAATATGGGACAAATTCAGGTAACTATAAGTCTATTACATTGTTAACTTTTGATCGGACCTCTCAAGTTCTCATTCGAGTCATGTCACCTGTTAATTAATTCCGTTCGTACGTGAAGCCACCTAAGTAGCAAGTCCTGCCTACCGTGAAAACAAGTGTGAAAGTTAACAAAAAAGAATAAAAAACATGAATATCTTATGTAACATGTAACAGTCTAGGATTGAGTATTGAAGCATCTTTTTTCTTGTATATTCTGGCTAATTTGTGTGTTTTATGCCTGTAGTGAATGTTTCTTCTTTCAGTTTTATAACCAAGACCGTCACCACGGGCACCGTCTGAGTCTGACCATCTGATGAGATCATGAGACTGATGATTGGCCCCGCCTAAATTTAAATATATTTTCAGTTTTCACAAGCCGTTTGGACTTTGGAATATAGCTACAAGGGGCCAGAGAGGGTAATAAATAAATGGACTGTGGTTTGTGTGTACTGTGTACACATTAGCAGTTAGGTTAGCACATAGCACCATATTAGAATTGAAGTTATTGAACTGTTGAACACTTTAAACTGGCCTATTGGTTCTAAATCTCATTAGGTACTACTTAGGTCTCAGTGTCATTGTATATTTATGGATGGAGTAAGCAAGCACCAAGCTGTAACTGAAGCCAAAGGACCAAGGATGCAACTTATGATGCATGTTGCAAGATGAAAAATTGAAACTTATGTTGTCATTTCACTTGAGCTGCCACACAACCCAGTTCTAATCTAATTTCAATTTTAATTGAATTACCTATATTGGACTGCAGTCTAATCTAATAATCAAAAAATTCAATCAAATACAAAATTTTAAAATGATCATGATCATCATATTAGTATTGTAGTGAGTTTCATGACAAATTAGGGATTTTTTAGAATTTGTTGTTCATTTTTAATTTCCTGATGGAATTTAGAAGCAAAGAAAATTGCCAAAAAGTCCACCATTTCTTGTAAGACAGTAAGAGAACACATTTTGTGTTTTTGGGAGTCCAGCTCCATTGTCAGTTCAAAACCCAGAAGCCAGAACTGGCAGAACACAGGTACATACACACATAGTGGCAAACCAGAGATTTTTAGAATTCGTTCATTTTGAATTTCCTCATTTACTCAAGATTTTAACCAATTTCTTATCATATACAAATAATTAACCTAAAATCGCAGTAAAAAATTTACCTAGACTTGAGGAAATTAGAACCTTGACGGCTTGAAGTGAAGGATTGTGAGGCCATCTGGACCTCGAGCGGAAGAGTTTGCAGCTGCAATGGTGAGCTTCACCATGTCGGGTGTGAGAGAGATGAAGTCCCTGTTTAGGGGATGTTCAGCCTAAATTTGATTTAAGAGGCGGCGGATGGAGGGGCTTTGAGAGTGAGGAGTGATTGAAGTGAAGAGTTTGCAAAAGGCGGAGGAGATCTTGCGCTGGGGGAGGAAAGGGAATTCAGACCAAATTGGATTGACTGATTGGGAGGGGAGGGCACTCAGGGCAGTTATGCTTTCCGGCTTGGGAGCAAAGGAGATTCCAGTGTTTGGACTGGTTTGTGCGTCTGCTGCACAATGCAAGATATGTTCATCAGGTGTTCCTGGCATGGGCCTGTATGGGGATGCTGATTTCCAGGTTTAGCTATGGAAGCCAGGAGTCGGTTGGGTTGTGCGCCCTGATGTCATCCCATTGCTCGATGAGCATCCGGGTGCCAGAGTTGACTGAAGGAGAGAAGTCCTTCTGGAATCCAGCAGGGATATGCTGTCTGGGAGGGAGGGACCATCTGAAGTGCTGCTTTGATAGCTGTCGTGTAGGATGGCCAGTCAGCTTTCTTAAAGTTAATGTAATAGCGTGGCCCAGGAGGTTGTTGAGTCAGCAGAAGTAGGGAGATGGATCAGGGTGAGCAGGTGGTCTGAGTTGATAGCAACTTGAGGTTGAGGAGTCCAGGATGTGTTAAGCAATAGATGACTGCTGATGATGGCAAGGTCCACTGGTCCAGCAGTGAGGAGGGCAGGCCATGGGAGGGGAGGCAGGTATAGCAGTCCTCATTGAGGTAGGCAAAGGAGGACTATGACTATGGTTCCTCACACTGCAGCTTTCTGGTCTTTTGAGTTGCAGAACCAGTAGGGATGATGGGCATTAAAATTGCCCATTATCAGACAGCCATCCAGGATTGAGACAATGTCTGAGAGCTCCAGGGAATATCCTGGAGCACAGGAGGAGGCTGGAAGGATCACTAGGACGTAAACATTGATGATGCAGAGAGGGGTGGAGTTTGCAATGGCCTCCATGGTGGTGTTGCCCCGTAGGAGGGGAGAGATGTTTCGCCCAGTGGCAGATCAAGATGAGGAGACCACCACTGTGACCTCCGGGGCAGTCTCTGCACTCCAGCACTTATCGGGGAAAGGATGGGGAGCGGGATACAGCTGATGGCTTGGTCTCTTGGAGACAAGTAACCGCCACATCAGTCTTGGCAAGGTAAGTACCGTAGCCAGTTCAACTGCACTGTATTGAACCCCATTGCAATTAAACTGGAGGATGCAGAGGTGGGAGGGGGACAGCATGGGGGTAGGCCAGGGGGCAAGGGGGAGGGGGATCGGGCTGGGATTGGGTCAGACCATCTGCGCATAGGGCAGATTCAGTCTTCGGAGTAGAGATCAATGGAGCACAGGCTGGAGCATCGCTTGTGGGTCCAGGCATTGCACCTGGAGCACAGAAACTAACATCCTCTCCATGTAACTGGGATGGAGCAGACTGAGCAGGGGCGCAGGCTGGGGTTGGGATGGATACCCTGGGTTAGGAGGAGGACAAGTAGGAAGAAAAGGTGAGAAGAGGGAAGGGCATAAGGTGCTCAGGAAAGATAGGCAGCTGAAGATGTATGTAGGTAGGGGGAAGGGGAGGCCAAGGTTTCCCTACCCTTAGGCAGAAAAAAATGAAGAAAGGAACCTCTGTCTGGCAGCGATCCGGGCAGGAGGGCCTCTGCCATTTGGCCTGCCCCATGAGTATGCCAGGCATCCAGCCGACGTGCAGGCCAGGGTACCTCCATGGCATAGATGGGCAGAGATTGGGGGCACTTGGTGGTGTAGCTGGTGTTGGTGGTGTGATATCCATGATAATAGATTCTTAACCAGTTAACATCATACTCTACTGCACTACTGGTTTACTCATAGTCTCATAGGACTAAAAATGAACTTGAGGAAGAATCTAAAAAACTCTCTGCTTTGCCACTAAATTCAGTATTGAAATAACTACAGCATTTATTTGGAGTAATCAAGAATGACAAAATATATTTCCAACCATTGCTATGTGAAAAATTTGTAGATCCTTTAAGAACAAGAGAAAATTTCTTCAATAATGACAAATTAACATTTGATCCTCCTCATTTTGGCATCTTGTTTTATCAATGCTTTATTGTTTATTGCACATAAAATGATTACCCTTGAAAATTCAGTGAAACTGCCTGTATAACTACATTTATAGGTGAAATGCAACTAAAAAAGTTTTGAAATGACTCTGTTTGTAGATTTATTTATGGTGATACCTGTTAATATCTGATTGGTCTGCTGGTGTAATGGTGTTGCAAGGGGTTGTGATGTCACACTTGTTTGTTCATGAGATGGCTTTGTGCTGCACGCTGATTGGTTCGGGGAGTGCCCTTAGCCTACATGGCCTGGGCTGACTGTAACGTGATGCAAGTTGGCAACAATTATGCTGTTGATAACAGGAGTCTAGCGTGAACCATGATAGGGTTAGCATCTACCGAACGTGTGCTATTAACAATTGGTAGCAGTGTGCAAAATGGCTTCAGCAAGAGCCATTACTACTAAAGTTCCTCCTGTGTTTGAAGAAGATGGTGATTATGATCAGTGGAAAAAAGATGTGTAGCTGTGGACTATTTTGATGGATTTAGTCAAGAGTAAACATGCCATTGCTGTTCATTTGTCATTGACCGGCAAAGCCCCGAATGCTTCATCAGAGCTTTCAGTGAATGAAATTAAAGGAGAAGATGGTATAAAAAAGTTGTTGAATAAATTGTTACTAGATTTCTTTATGGTAATACCTTATTCAATATTACAGCCATTTGCAGGTATGGAATATATCTACCTTATTTTTCTTGCTGCAACTAATTTTGAGTGCAAAAATTTACCAGCAACTAGAATTTCCACCATTTTTTGAGATGCAAATTTTGTGCTAGATGATTTACCTCCCATCTTATATTAACAAAAGTGCATGATTCATGATTGGGTTACAAGATTCCAAATGAATTAATTTCATCACTAGAGCCATGACATTTTAGTAATAAGTAGGAAAAGTCTGATCTAGCCATATTGTAATGTCAACTCAATGTGGTTTGATACTTGTTGAGTATGGCAGGGCCGCATGTGATATGCCATAATTAAGTTATTGTTTGATTTAAATGAGTTACTACTTACTACTGAAATAATGTCAAAGTTAGTTATTATTCATATTACTTCCCACATGAATATTCACAGGACATTTGAAATGGTAAAAAATTTTAAAATTACTGTGCAAAAACATTATTACATGCGTTTGGAGTTATGCTGATGATGCAAAGTGTTGTACGTAAGCATCAGAGCTCATTCAAGGCCCCACTGAACACTCTAAAACTGTTCACATGAAGCTGGATTTGGCTCACTCCATGCTCATATGTATTTCTTAACATATTGCAGAGAGATATTATCTGGCAAATATGCTTACTGTGAAATGGTACCTTAAACTTTTAAAATTAATAAGTTGTTGAATGGTAATTTTTTAGTTTCTAAAAACTTTTTCTGACTTACAGAAAGATAATTTTCAGATTATTTTGGTTAAACCTTATACTTAAGTTATTCAATCTAGCGCTTATCATAATCAGTATGGCTAAGTATGATGAAAACTTGAAAGAAAATCCTTTCTTTATTTATGTTAAAGAAAACCATGCAAATGTCATAAAACAAGCTGCTGAAGAAAACTGGCTATTATGCATACCTCGGAAAGCTACTATTCTCAACACAGCTTTCACCCAGGTGGATGTTTTGAAACACACTCTTGTACCTGATGACAGCAATGAGAATGTCTTCACTACTCTCACAGACCAGCAAGTTCATCTACTCAAAGATGCTCTTGTTACAGATGAAGAAGTGCATGACAAAAGTCCAAACAAGAAGAAAGTTTTAATTTTATTCTCAGAAGTTCTCTACGATGAGTTTGGAAAGTATGGACTTATGTGCCTTGAATGTCCCTTGTTTTGGAATAAACCTGTGGATTCTTTGCCTTCCATTTTGTCCATCCATGATGCAATAAACTTTCTGTGCCAAGGATTACAGAACTTTACAGTCATGCACAATCTTGACTCATTGGCTGAAGATGTAAGCCTGAAGTGTGAAAAAATAAGTGAGCTTCAACCTCTAATAGAAGTTGTTATAAATGCTTACCAGCTTGGCTGTAGCTTAGTTATGAATCAGTCAAGTTTTAAAGCAAAGGTGACTTCTGATCCATATTATAAAAAACTTCTAGAGACATCAGTTATTACTTATCTTCAACATAAAATTTTTCCCTCACTTGTGGCAGTTTTAAATGTTTTTGCTTGTGCCAAAGATGCAACATTAAACTTGCACTTGAACAATGCATCTGGCATCACTTGCACTGATGTCAATCTTCAGTATAGTGACAACTACAATGTGTCTGTGAAGGAACTAAGGACATTTTTCAAATTTCAAACTTTCATTGACAAAGCTGAATGCATAAAAAAAGTTATTGCAACTCTTTGTGCGGAGATTCGCTGTGCAACAACTGATGAACTCATACCAAACTTGTGTTATGTTGTTGTAAAGACAGCCATGCCAAATTGGTATGCTCACATGATGTTTCTTAAGCACTTCCACATTGATGGTGAAGATAAACAAACTGGCGAAAATTACTTTCATTTTGCAACTCTGGAGGCTGTGTTAGAATTTATTTCCACTGGTGGCCTCTATAAAAAAATTGAACTTGAACATGACCAAGAAGATTCAGGCAATTTTTTATTAAAAAGTGAAGTTCAGAAATTACTGACCAGAAATAATGATGAAAAAATAACTGAATATTTTCAATATATTCAACACAGCCAACTTGTTGAAATCAATGCCCTTTTTGAAGAAAGCTCCTTCAAATCCAAGGATGATATTAAGAAAAAACTATGCCACCCTTTGTGCACTTGCCCTCGTTGCTCTACTTTATTAGATCAGGTGAAGAATTCATGTGTCTCTGCCAAGACCTCAGATTCAGAAGGCTTTACAGGTCTCCATGCTGCTGCTTTTTTTGGCTGTCCTAAAGTAATAAAACTACTGCTCAAAAGAGGAGCTAACGTCAATGCACGATGCAACCAAGGAAGCACTGCTTTGCATTTTGCATCCATGAAGGGACACAAGAATTGTGTTCTCCTCTTGCTACACAATGGGGCTGACATAGGTATTGCAAATTCACGTGGATACATGCCCCTGCATCTGGCTGCTGAAAACGGGCATGTCAGCTGTGTGAAGAGCCTCTTATTCTATGCTGAGCTTCATGGTTCAATTGACTGTATGGCAGTTGATAACAATGGTGATACACCTTTGCATTTAGCTTGCAGGTGGGGATTTCAGGACGTGATCATTGTTCTCTTGGAACAAATGAAGGATGGAAATTATGACCTGATGGTGAAAAATAAAGCTGGCTTTGCTTCAACTGATCTCTGCCTTAATCGAGAACTACGGAAACTTGTGCTGAATGCTCACCAGCAAAGAGCTTCCAACAACCACTTAAGGCCTGAAATTTTTTTGTGCAAAAGGGTCAGTATTGACAGTGGTTGTATATCTCAAAGCAGCCCAGCCATAACCACTGTCAAAGGAACACCAAATGCATCTGATGATATATCATGCTCTATGGTACCTAGTAAAAATGTTACTGCAACTCATGAGCTGGATTATTCAATTGTTGATCCACCAATCAAAGAGCTAACTCAAAGTGAGTCTAGACAATTAGATGAAGCAGTATGTGCTATCCAGGATGGTGAAATAGAAAAAGCTCTACGGTTACTTTCTGTGCCTACTGGTAATTTTGATAAAGATGCAAAATTATCATCTCTGTGTCATCCTTTATGCCAGTGTTGTGAGTGCCTGAAAACAATGCCTGTAGATGACCGTCAAAACGCCTGTGGTTTCATCAATTCATTGGGTACTGCTGGCTTAGGTGTACTTCATGTTGCGACCATGGGTGGACTAGCAAAGCTTGTTAAGATTCTTTTGTGTAACAACTGTAACCCAAATGTATTATCAGGCCTCCAAAATGGTAGTGCTACAGCACTTCACATGGCCTGTGAGACAGGGAATTATGCCATTGCCCAAATGCTTCTCCAGTATGGAGCAGATGTTGATGCTATTGATATCAATGGCAACACACCACTTCACATATCTGCAGCTGGGGGTAATGCTCGACTGCTTCATCTCCTAATTAGTAGTGGAGCCTCTATATCATCCATTAATTATAATGGTCAAAGTCCTGAAGATGTTGCTCGGCAGTTTGGATATCTTGCTTCTGTGGAAATGCTCCAACCGCCTCTCAGTGATTACAACTGATGTCATTGTCTGGAGTCTTCCAATATTTATTAAATATTAGTGTGTTTTTCATATTTACATTATCTACTGGGTGAGTTGCTTGCAATTTTCCATTACTACTTTTTGCTCACATTATTTCGTATTTTAAAATATGCTATTTTGATTAATATGAGCTTTGTTCAACAATATTTATGTAGCCTTTTATTCATGAGAGGCTTTCCAAAATATTTGTTACTGCACTACAACACCTGGGAAATGATCTAATTACTTTACAATATTTATACAATAGCTGGGTGCAGGGAAAATCTTTGAAGCAACCCTCTCAATACCAATCTTGAGAAAATAAATTAATTTCTTCACAATAATTTGGACAATGATAAGGCAACAAAAGCTTTAAAATCATTACTTTGACCCTTTATAACACATTCATTTTTTTTTTTTGTTTGCAGATCATCTTTGGTCCCATGTTTTCTGGCAAGACCACAGAACTTATGAGGAGAATCAAACGCTATCAAGTTGCCAAGCACAAATGTCTGGTGATCAAATATGCCAATGATATTAGGTAAGGAGTGCTGATGCAGTTCTGTACAATTTGTTCTCTGGTAGTAGATAAGTATGAAGCAATTGATATTTATTTGCTTTTTCTGCCTTGAATGTTCAAAAGTTCTGTAAATCATAAATTTTCTTGTTTCAGATATGACAGCGAGCAGCTGTCCACTCACGATCACCAGACTCTTGCTGCTGTTACTGCAACTACATTGACGGGGCTCATGGAGGCTGCTCACAATTACTCCATTATTGGCATTGACGAGGGACAGTTTGTGAGTACTTCAGTCTTAATTACAGTTAGATTTTATTGGTTGGCAAATTCGGAACTATGGTATAAATGCATCATTTGACCGTTTATTCACTCGTATATACCTCGCTCAAAATTAATAATCTTTGCCGGAATTCTCTCCAACATGGATACCAATGCTTTTTAATAAAAAACACGTTTTTCTTGTGGACTAAAAAGTAGAAAATAAATTATGGCTCCCCCCAAAAAACGTGGGTCGGGCTGTACGTTCACCATCAAATTTTCAAAATTCGTGTGTTGTGTGCTTCTCGCTTTAATCATAAATCTGCTCGACACACGTTTTTTTGGGGCGAGCCATAATTTATTTTCTACTTTTTAGTCTACAAGAAAAACGTGTTTTTTTAAAAAGTTTTTTTTTTATTATTTTATTATCAATTATGCGCACTTAACTCATTTTCATCCTTTGCCGTGTTTTTCCGGTAAAAACGTATGTGGCTTGAGTACTAATATACTGTTGTTCTTGCGACAATTCCATGAATTGAAATTTTGTCTTACAGTTTAGTCGTGACAATTAATAATATGTAGGGATTTAAAATAATTTTGTTAATTTTCCAAGGTTCATTTTGTTTTACTTATAATTTTATTTGAATTTGCATTTTATCATGTACGGGTAATTTAGGTTACAGGCGTTTTTAGCTCATAGCAGTCACTTTCGTATACTTAATAAGCATATGTATATTTATATAAAAAAAAACGAAAATTTTGATTGCTGTTGTCATAGGTAACATTGAAGAAAATTTTTTTCTTAGTTTGCCGACACAGTGAGTTTTGCGGAGGCGATGGCAAACAGCGGCAAAGTGGTGATCATAGCGGCGCTGGACGGGACGTACCAGAGGCAGGGCTTTGGCAGCATCCTACAGCTCGTGCCGCTCGCCGAGAGCATCGTCAAGCTCACGGCCGTGTGCATGCGATGTTATCAAGACGCTTCTTTTACTAAGCGTATCACCCACGAGACAGCCGTACGTGCATCGCATTACAAATTTCTTACAAACATGATTATGAAACTAGACCATTTTTAGCGCATTTTCTCATTTATGAGAAAAAAAGCTATTTTGCTCGTCATGTCCGTCCGTCTGTCTATGACTTCACGTTTTCGTCGACGAGAAAATGCACTATCACTCACTTCAGTGAGTACCGAGTTAAATTTTTTCTGTAAGGGGAGTGGGAGGCGTGTGAAACAAATCAAGTCTGGGCAATCCATTGTTCAAGGTGGTAATTTTTCTCTGAATGATCAAGAAGTATTTACGTCGAACGTACGTGCCCTTCATTTTATTTTATTTCAACCTTGCATTTTAGTAGAAGGATATTTATCTTGCACCTCCTGATTTTGTCGCAGTTGGAAGTGATCGGTGGAAGTGAGAAGTATATTGCAGTGTGCCGCGCGTGCTACCACGTGGACCCCATCACCGAAAATTCACCATCGCCTCTAAGAGTGAGTGTGTGCCGTGTGGGATTCAGAATATCCTAGGATATATTTTAAATTCAAATCTATCCATACCATATCATCATTCATTCATCATATTTAGGTCTCCATCTATTACGCATAAAATTCTAATAATAATCCTGAACTCAGACGAATGCTCTTGATATAGTCCTGTTTTGAACAATAATCCAGTGGATTGATGTTGAATTACTGTTGTTATGCCATCGAAGTTCTGCTCGAGCAATAATGAAATCTTGACACAAATTAATCATTTTTGTTTAGATATGAATTAAAATTTAAGTGCATGCACGACAAATCTGTTCGTAAAGGTATACCAAAGATTAGTCTTTTTTTTTTTATTACAAAATTGTGAAACGTCTCTCATTACAGATAAAAGCTTCATACATTCATTCGAAGAGAATATTTCTTGGGAACGTTCTGTGAAATTCACATCTCATGCAAGCATTTATTGCTCAAGACTTCGTTCCAATTCTTTGATAAAATATGACCTAATTCAACCATTTCATAATAGTTTTCTCGAGCAATGGTGCTCTTAATAGGAAATAATTGAGTTTTCACGAAAAGGTTAAAAGCAAAAGTTACATTTATTTAAACCCAGACTCATTTATTAAGAAAATTTGTTCATTTTTGTCACCAAATTTACTTGTCATTACAATTAAAATGTCAAATCAATTATAATATTTTTTCCATTTGCCTTTCAGTCTTCAAATAAAAGCTGCATTGCTGACTCAGCTGAATTTGTTGCCAAAAAACTATGCTTGGAGACTAGCAATAATGAAATCTTGACACAAATTAATCATTTTTGTTTAGATATGAATAAAAATTTTAGTGCAAGCATGACAAATCTGTTTATAAGGGTACCGAAAGTCAGTCTTTTTATTTATTACAAAAAATCTGAAATGTCTATCTCGAGCGCGCATTTTACTGCTCCTCAAGACTTCGTCACAATTCTCCTCAATTTTACGATAAAATATGACCTAATGCAACCATTTCATAATAGTCTTCTTGATCAATGGTGCTGTTCGGAAATAGTTAGATTTTCGCAAAAATGTTATGAGCAAAAGTTGCATTTATTTAAGCACAGACTGCTTTATTAAGAACATTTGTTAATTTTTGTCACCAAATTTGTAATTACAATTGAAATGTCAAATTAATTATAATATTTCTTCCATTTGCTTTTCAGTCTTCAAATAAAAGCTGCATCGCTGACTCAGCTGAATTTGTTGCCAAAAAACTATGCTTGGAGACATCGTGTCCAGCAGACAGTGGAAACAAAGAAAACTCGTGTGTTGCACCGGCTCAGTGATGCCGCGGGCTGCACCAGTGATGCAGTGGGCTGCACCAGTGATGAAGTGGGCTGCACCAGTGATGCAGTGGGGTGCACCAGTGAGGCGGCGGGCTGCACCAGTGAGGCCGCGGGCTGCACCAGTGAGGTCGCGGGCTACACCAGTGAGGCCGCGGGCTGCACCAGTGATGCCGCGAGCTGCACCAGTGATGCCGCGGGCTGCACCAGTGAGGCCGCGGGCTGCACCAGTGAGGCCGCGGGCTGCGCCAATGATGCCGCGGGCTGCACCAGTGATGCAGTGGGCTGCACCAGTGATGCCGCGGGCTGCACCAGTGGGGCCGTGGGCTGCACCAGTGATGCCGCGGGCTGCACCAGTGATGCAGTGGGCTGCACCAGTGGGGCCGTGGGCTGCACCAGTGATGCAGTGGGCTGCACCAGTGATGCCGCGGGCTGCACCAGTGATGCAGTGGGCTGCACCAGGGAGGCCATGCCCACCTTTTGCTTCTTGTTTTGTGCGTGGTTGAAGAGTGTTGCGCTGGTACCAGCACCTTGATGCGCTGCACTCATTGGGGCGATCTGTGACTGTGAGTTAGCGCTGTGTTCGGAAAATGGCTCAAGCTGTGACTCGCTCATTGTTAGATCTGCATTTCTTATCTTGATTTAGAGAATGACTTTGTTCCTGTTTTATTGAAGTGAATTACAGTGTGATTCGTTTAGAGTATCTTGACTAAAACATGAATTTTTTATGATTAAAAACTGATAAACTGCATGAAATTGTGTACATATCTTGAATTTGTTTAAATTTTCATTAATATTTAAAACACACAGGAAAAAACTTGCTTCATAAGGAATCCCAGATAAATTCGGCATGAATTCTGTTCCATTATTTATAAGTATTAATGATAACTTCATTAAAAATCAAAATATTGGATGTCTTGAAGTATTACACGTGCTGAGACAAACTCTCAAGAGTCAGCGAATTATCGCCCGTTTGGCTCAAGCTTAGGTAGGCTGTGGGTGGCCTCCGTTATTCTATGCATGTTCTGCTCCTGCAGTTTGAGTAAGCTTGAGTTGCTTGATCCTGGCCCAGCAGTTTTTTAGGGAGATTTTCGCTAAATACGTTGTAAAACGTTATCTTCTACACATTTCTTCTGAAATGCTACTGTTATTTTTAAAACTGACACCATGTTATACGTCGTCTGTGACGAGTCGCGTCGACTAAGTTGAGGGATACTAATTAAGCGAGGTCAAAAGTTTCCGTGTTGCAATTACTTGAAACGATTGTAATAACATGTTTTATATTTTCATAGAAATCGTTCTAAAATTCATCACCGTTGTAGGTAATAATTTTATGTTAAACCGTCTAAATCTTTGAGTAGAACGTTTGGCACCTCAGACTTGGGCATTGCCGTTTTGTATTAATTTGATGTAAGGATATAAGTTTAGTTTTTTATTTCAGTAGATGTCGTTCATTGAGTAGTATGTGACGGTTGCTTCTGACTTTTTCACTAACTTGTGGCCTATTTATGTCCAATTAATTGCATGCATATGTATATGACGTGCGAATCAATCAAGATATTCTTTAGTAATATCTAAGCATCCAAACACTGCCATTTATATCGTGCATTTTAGTAATAACTTCCAAGTAATTTTTATACTAGAAAGTTAAGACAAAAATAAACATTTTTGTACTATTCAAGTGTAAATTTTCTGAACTGCGTCATCTTGTACAAGTTCACTGTATGGGCAATAACGAAAACACTCGTGTAGTTTTTAATTATGCATTGAATAAGACATTCATTTTAATATCTAGGACATCACGGTGCTTACTCTTGACAGCGACCACGCATTACTTGACATCATACTTCTCATTATTCGAGAGCTCGATGATGAAGACAGAATGTCCTCAATCATGCAAAATATTTCCGTGCTAGACTTAAGGCTATTATTCTCTCTTGAAAATTTGTCAACATAGTTCGGTCACACTTCTGAACTTTTGTCAAAATTTCACAGTTGACTCTTGAGTTGACATGTTCTCACAGCTGACAACTCATTTTATATCTGGACCAGAAGAAGGTAACTAACTCAAATAATGGTAAAAAAACTACACTATATTAACACAGCATCAATAACGGCTTCTTTTTTCGAAACTATACAGCGGAACTATGTTTGCAATGTGTGTGATTTTAAGCAGTGTTGCAATCACTGCTTAAAAAATCTTTGTCTCGTAACGTTTACAAAGGAACGCTGAAAGTGAAAATTTGTGGGATATCAAATACCGCTATCCAAACAAAGAGGAAGAATTTAACGTTATTGTCTATGCAGGCCGAGGGTTACTGATAGGTATTTTTCCAGTTAGCAGAGTGAGGATAATCAGAGAGCTAAAATCTAACCACCCACACAACTGTGTGCTTCGAACATTCTGAGCTTCAACAATCAACATGCAGGATTTGCATTCATCAACCCAAGTATCATAAGTTTAAAATGCTCCCTGAATCCAAGCACAACATGGTAATAGTAAGCAGAAACTCACAACTGAATTCGATAACAAAACTTTTTCACATTGTTAAAGTGTTGGAATATACAAAACATTTAGCTAAACTTAGGATATTGCGACGGAGAACCAAGCTGTACATTAAGAGCATGATCTTGAGGCTTTATGAACTGCATGACATTCAACAAGCCTATTATCGCATTGACTTTCGAAATCCTTAAAAAAAAATTCGGACCCACAGTCGTCCAACAGCTTAGCTACTGCATAGTAATGAATGACGTCTCAGTTGTAAGTGATCGAAATGATCTACGCTTGCCTACAATTCTGCTCATTGGCTGTGAACGATGCCCGTAGCGCTAATTAAAAAACTGTGGGCGAAATCAAGGGGCATTCTAAGCGACCGCTCACGTGAGACACAAACTCTTGCATTTCTCATGGCTTGAAGAGCAGCTCAGCTCTGCAGGAACTTGACACCCGTGCCGTCAGGTGTCTCGATGACCTCTGCCTTGCCCTGACTCTCCAGCAGCCGCAGCGCTTTCAGCACCACGTCATCCGAGAGCCCGAAGAACTCTACACATAAATCAAACTATTGAATGAGGGATTAAATCGTATCGTAGAAAGACGAAAATCACTAATACTAAAGTTAAAACCAATTTTAAGTTGAAATGAACGACCACGTGTGTGGTAGTTTAGAACTTTAGAATGCTGCCCATTCGACATAATTCATTCGCCATTGAATAATATCATAATTCACTCTGGAACGAAATTATTCCGTAAATGGTATTAAATAGTTAATAGAAAGCTGAAATGACACTATTGTGTTCAACGTCATAGGTAAATTTGTAGTAGAGGACACAAAATGTTAAATTGTAGTGAATTGAAAATGTAACGCACAAACTTGTCTTTAGCGATTGTTCACACTTAATCCGGTACACTTTAGTATTGGAATGCTATCAGCTGACTCCTCGTGCTTCACTTCTATGTTTGTAAGTTAGTAGTAAGCAAAAATGTCTGAAAGTCTTGTGCAAACGAACCAACGTGATGTCCACGTTCTTAGAACGTAAATCTCCAGATTAGATTTACCGTCGCGAGTGCTAGTCGCATCTGAAGGCAAGGTTACTATAGCTATCTTAAGCAGATAGAGGATTAGCCCTTTGTCAAAGAATACATATATCTTCGTCAGGGCATTTCGTATATACAGGCATGATTAATAGTTACTACCAGCAGTCATGGTCAGTAAAGCTCCCGTCAGCAGACATGGCCAGTAAAGCTACCATCAGCAGCCATGGTCAGTAAAGCTACCGTCAGCAGACATGGTCAGTAAAGCTACCGTCAGCAGACATGGCCAGTAAAGCTACCATCAGCAGCCATGGTCAGTAAAGCTACCGTCAGCAGACATGGCCAGTAAAGCTACCGTCAGCAGACATGGCCAGTAAAGCTACCGTCAGCAGCCATGGTCAGTAAAGCTACCGTCAGTAGACACGGTCAGTAGAGTTACTGTCCAAAAACAAAGCGTTGACATGAAGTGCAGGAAGCTTCACCTTGGTCGGTGCTCTCGTCACCCTGGGTGAGCTCGTAGAGCGTGCACACGGTGTTTACTTTGCTGGTGGCCTGCGCCCACCTGTACAGCTGGTCGGCCCACGCCCCTGTGCTCAGCCACAGCACTTGTCCTCTGATGGTCAAAATATCACAGTAAAATTGCTTCATCATTAAAACGCATCATTCGAAGAAGGTTTTACGTAAAATTCAAAGAAATCTTTGAGTAAAATTGCTTTATTATTACAACGCATCATTCAAAAATGGATGGTTTTGAGTAAAATTAAAAGAAAGCTTTGAGTAGAATTGCTTTATTATTACAAAGCATCATTCAAAGATGGTTTTGAGCAAAATTAGAAAACAAAAAAAAAAACTTTGAGTATAATTGTTCTATCATTACAACGCATCACTCATATAAAGCGTTCAGTAAAATACAAGTAGAATTTACCTATCATTACTGCACATTTTCATGCAGGGCAGCCGCACCATTAGACCCTAATAATGCACTCATTGCCTTAGTATTAAACAACAATTGCGAACACGTCAATCGCGTGCACATATGCAAGATAAAATGAGTTATGTACATCATCAAATATTAAGCAGCGTTCATTATCATTAGGCAACGATAAACTGTGAGGCCGTCAACTTAACATCATGTGCAAAATGTTCGATAAAACGTAAAAAAAAACATTAGAGAAAACGTGTGAAGTATGTCGTCATTATCAGTTCATGTCATGAATAATACAGTCGAACATGGATGATAAAACTGAATGTACAATAATTTTAACTTAGCCTCCACTTCCATGCGAGAAAGTAAATATTTTTGCTATGCTTAAATAAATATACCGAAAATTAGGCCACAATAAAGTTTCGTGACAACATGCTAACACAACAAGAAAAAATATTCAATTAATATATGTCTTTAACTAGACACTTCAAGTGATTCGATACCTTGAGAAGGTAACAGATATAGGACGCTATCGGATGCTAACAACTCTAATATTGATATCACAACATTCAACATCATTACCGATACTAACGCGCATAGACGAGTATTTAAGGTAATGAAGTCCTCAGGCTAGTAATATTCGAGCTCCTTGACATGTATGTCGCTGGCTTAATAAAATTTCTTCAAGTCTTGATAAAATATACAATTTCCAAAGAAAAGCCTACGATGATTTCATTTACCAAAGCTAAATTACATACGTGGTACATACCTGGTCTTAGATTTATCGGTCCATTCGAGGTTGCCGCGCTTAGCCAGTTCGTGGAGCACCACAGAGATGCCCTCGGGGGGCAGCGCGCGCCCCACCTCCGCGTTACTGTGGAATTAATAACCCAATAAAATACAGTAGATTGTATTCGAACAGAGCAGCGGCTTGTATGCCCCAAATCCTGAAGACACGCAGCACACGTAGCGCAGTATTATATAACAAGGCCTGCTTATTTAAGCAGATGAGCTTATTATTGTTAGGACAAATGTAGTCAAATAACAAAGAAGTGATGCAAACGGTTGACAGAGTGAAGTAACTGAAGACAGGCTTCTAACGAGTAATGCAAGTGCCCGTCGGTTGACAGGGTGAAGTACCTGAAGACAGGCTTCTAACAACGAGTGATGCAGCCACCCGTCGGTTGACACGGTGAAGTAACTGACGACTGACTTCTAACATCGAGTGATGCAAACACCCGTCGGTTGACAGGACGTGCCTATAGACAGGATATCAACAACGACTGACCCAAGCACCCGTCGGTTGACAGGAGGACGTACCTGAAGACAGGCTTCTAACATCGAGTGATGCAGGCACCCGTCGGTTGACGTACCTGAAGACGGGAAGAGACGAGCAGCTGGCGACGTCGATGCTGGTGACGTTGCAGTGTCGCGCCCAGCGCAGCACGAGCCCGCACCAGGACTCCAGCTGACTGCGCCGCACCTCGCTGTTGGTCTGCAGTCTGTGCATGTGATGCTTGGGTTATGTATGGAAATTTATTGATGCGTGATATATAGAACTGTTTGTATGCGTTTTGGATGGTCAACTTTATAGTTAGTTAACAATTAGAAGTACTTAATTTCTTGTTGTGTTCTTCGTCACAAATCATCGGGATCCTCTTAGTGCGTATTAAATATTATCATGTATTAAGCTGTTAATAATCGAACGTGGAGTAGGGACTGACAACATGGACTGAGATGATCATTTCCTTCAATAATATAGCTTCGAAAATTTCTGGTTTACCAAGATATCCGCGGTAAGCTACAGGAGCCAAAACATCTCCCTTGAATGAGGCTAACAGGCCTTCAGCAAAGTAGCCGTGTTAAACACAAGAAAACTTTAATATAAAGATGCTGAAATTTATCGATAGAAAAAAAAAACTCACGTGAAGAAGGGCGGGAAATTGTAGTACCAGGGCCAAGTGAAGTCCGCCATGATTGATCAGGTTAGACTAAGTAGAAGTAAACAGAATTTAGGAATGATTTTAAATAAATAGAGTACAGCATCAGGGTAGTCTGGTAGACCTTACATGTCTGCTCAAAAAATCTAGAAGCATGTGTCAAAAATTCATGGAAAAACTGTCCTTAATGAAAATCGATTATTAAACATAAAAAAATTATTGAATGCAAAAATTCAATTAGAGGCAGTGTATGAAAAGCTCACAGTAATCTTCACAAAACTGGCAAAATAAAATTGTTTAATAATTTGACTAGGTGAATTGTTTACTAGCGTATTAGCTATCAAGGCATTTGTACTGGAAGTCTAACATAAAGTCGCCAGCAAGGCCTAAATCCAAATTTTTTGCAATATCTCAAAAGGCAGGAGGTCTCGCTAGGCCACGCCACTTGAGTCGGCAGCAGCGTTAGCATCTCAGAGAGGCTGCGTGCCAGGAAGGGACAGGTGAACTACAACAACAACGGAGACATTTGTGAAAGATTCGCTTACACGGGACGTCGGCCGCCCGTACGAGAGATAAAGAAGGGAAAGGTAAGGAATCCTGCCTGTATAACAATTTAACCCCACAACTGGTCTGCCTATTCATAACTTAACCCCAAAACTGACCTGCGTACATAACGACTTAACCCCGTGACTGAGATAGTCTATTCAGTAAAGTTATAAAGCAAAGAATGTTTAGTTTAACTCGATCGATGGAATCAATGGAACTCGCCGTTCGTCAATTGAAAACGTATGATACTGGCCGGGACTACGCTTGGTAGTGTTCGATTCCCACGTTATATCTACGATCGCGGTTTCTATCGCGCTAGAAAGTTGTGCTGAAGTTATAAAACTAGATCGTTTCTAATGAAAAACAATGACTTGAGTGCAGTGGTGGAGGAGAGGAGTGCCAGGGAGAGGCAGGAGGGGAGTGCCAGGGACAGGTAGGAGGGGAGTGCCAGGGAGAGGGAGGAGGGGAGTGCCAGGGAGAGGCAGGAGGGGAGTGCCAGGGAGAGGCAGGAGGGGAGTGCCAGGTAAGACCCCTCAGCCTACAGAACAACGAGCCCCACAGCAGCTTCCTGATAGGCAGAGGTAGTCAGGCGAGCTCGTCGGAATTCGACACGGGCGTCTCGCGATCAGATTTGCTTGCACTTTTCATCATTATTAGTTTACTTAGAAGTAGTTTTCGACATAAAACCAAGTGAGATATAACAATTCAACTGGTAAAATGTAACTATAACCGGAATAATAGCGTTGTCATGCGTTTATTTGATTTTATTTTTCGGCTCCATGTCCCTAATCGCAAGAAACAGGGATGACGGGGGGGCTGATATGGCAAGGGGCGCGACTCCCTTTCAGTTCCTCATGCCAACATCTACGATGGGAATTGAAACTTGGGTGTTCAATTATTATCCTTTTGTCCGATATAGGCACACGATTGGAAAAGGAACTGTTTTAGCCGATGCACTCTCTTTCCGCTGGCAGAGCAGTTTAATTATAATCAGATAACTTGCTAATACCTCCAGGAGACACAGGCTTCCTGCAGCTTCTGAAACCGCTCCCGGACAAAAAGAGGCATTAGAGTTTACGTTTGCCAGAGTGCATGACCGGGCGATTATTCTTAACAATGATGATGTGGTAGTAAAATGACGTACAGACACTGCGGAGATTTTATTCTGAAGCTCCTTGGCGATGGCAAAAATAAGCTTAGAAGATCGCTTGTGATGACAACTGTCAGCTTATTTCCCTAAACGTTGGTCACACAAATTTCAAATCTTGATACTCCAAAGCCGAATATCAACAAATGCGTCTACCCGAAAACTAAACTTTCTCTAGCCAGAGGCTTGACCAAGGGTCGAGCAAATGATCCAAACTTAGGAAACATTCAAGACAAGAAACGATATCTTCGTTAAGAGTAGCTTTAACTCTGAACACATGAACACATTACCCATAACTGCTGAACACAGAACTCGGATTTATGCACATAATTTATAGATTCGTTTTAAACGAAAAATATTGACAGAAAATAATTTTTTGCTTATAAAATAGCTTAGGTAGGTTAGGTTGAAATTACTTTACAGTTAGGTAAAGTAATTTCAAAATTGAATGAAAAAATCTTGAAATTGGAAAGAAATTTTTGCATTATGATTGTCGAGAATATGACACTTTCGTGATCAGCGAGCGTACTGCAAAGTCGTATAAAAATCAGAATGAGAAATGAACTAATCTGTATAGAGTATGATAGCAAAATTGACACGAGAATGTCATCCTCATTACCAACATTAAACAAAATATTACATTATGCCCTATGCACAACACAGGCTGAGCGAGAATAAGCGTAACACGAAGTTGTGCTTGCAGCGACAGCAGCATCGACCAGCCCTCCAACAGAACTCCATACCAATTCACGATCACAGTAGTTCATGAGAGATTCTTAACATTAGGTGGTGAATGCTAAGCGTAATTATTGAAAGCTAGTTTGAATATTATTTTAGTGTTGACACAATACACTTTGATTAGATTTATTGTTTGGAATAAATTGAGACAATGGATTAAGGCGTTAATTCAATTTAAACAATGGATTAAGGCGTTAATTCAATTTAAACAATGGATTGAAATACGTCAAAAATATTCAAACCTAAAATAGATTAATTGCTAATTTATACAAACTCTTCTCATGCGTACTTTAAAGTGCGAAATGAAATTATAAGTGTTAAATAAAATAAATATTATAGTCAGATAAGGTACGAGTACCTATATTAAAGCACGTGAGACCAGGAGAGCCCTCTGCCCTCATCGTCTCGCAATGTTTCTTCTTACAAATATAGCCTTCAATTTCAATGCAACCTCTTTTTTTAACGAATGTTGCCTTTACAGCAAAAAAAATTAAACCAATCAAATTAGTATTTTGAGGACGACTGCTAACAAATTCGTGGCATAATCTCTTCTCGAATTCTTAGAATTCAGTGACCATTTCCAAGTACACTCTAGTCCATCATTCAGAGTGTGCTTGAAATTCTTCCCTAGCTGGCCTACAAACTATACCTTGAGTACAATACTAAAATCATTAGTATTGCTTTTTATGACCAATAAATTCTACTAATACCCAAATTGTCCATATACATGAAGAGTTTTAGCGGCATAGGGCAAGTACCTCTCATCTTCTCCCCGCTCTACCCCTGCCCCGCCCTCGCCCTCGAGGTCCTCCTCTACCGCGGCCGCGCCCTCGGTTGCCCTCGTACGACACGCGCTGCTTCGTCACCAGCGGCGTCAGCATCGGGCTGCAGAAGATGCAGCCGCTTTCGCTCAGGCTGCCGTCCTTGAATTTGCTTTTGCCCTGCATGACATTATACAAGTTTAGAATTTTTGTTCCTGTAGGCCACACCAAAAACTAGTACATAAGGAAAATATTTTACCACTTCAGTCACAACATACGGAGCTGGAAAATATTAAATTACAAATAAGATACATGAATTAGTTGCCTTATTTCACATTCACATTCGACATTAGAGGTTATGATAGGTAAATAATGAATAAGCTTCTCTACTATAATTCTGAAGTTGAAGGATTTTAATTAACATAGTATTTGACCACACAATGCACAAGTAATTAATTGAAAGGACGTTATATCCCATTCACCACAGATAAGATTAATGAATTGAGGAACCAGTTAACGGGTTCAGCTCAGCGTGTGATCCAAATTATATTCACGAATTGTCCTGTTGTTGCAAGTGCTTCTGAAACAAGAAAAAACCACCCACGAAAGAACGAACACCAAAATTTAGAAAAAAAACACTGTAAACATTTACAAAATTAACATCAACTTAGGGCCACAGTATGTGCGTACCTACATGCAACGTAACATAATCTGTTAGGATACTAAATACCTGCTGTAGCTTGCACCCTCTGGTCCACAATGATACTGAACGCTGCAAATATTTTGTGTGGCTTCCATGTTCACGTAACGGCCACATTCAAAACGAATTGTGTTTTGGTAAGCGCTTTACAGATTTATTTTTGTAAAATCATCATAATCATTTATAGAAATTAGGTTTCGTAGAATTGTGTAACAGATTAAAAAAACATAAAAAGTTGTAATTTTAGGCGATATCCCCGCAGTTGCGTGGGTGCAGCAACTAACCTCCTTGTACTCGACGGCGACGTTCTGGGAGCCACACGTGGCGCACACCTCTGACAAGACGTTAACTTTGCTCGCTTTGTCGAACAGGCAAACAAGCACGTCACATCTGCAAACGAATAAATGCTTCCATAATATTGAGTGACACTTTTATAGAAAATGTCAGATTGATAAATTTTGTGCTCTGTTTGCAATAATGACAGAAGCATTTGAAGCCAAAACACAAAAAAACTTAGTTTTACGTGAATGGACACAAATAAGTTGAAGACAGTATCGATCATAAAATATAACACCAGGAACATCAAGCCAACATGAGTGAGGATAATACAAGATGATGAGTAGGACTCGTCTGCTAGTTACTGATGTGGCAATAAACGTAAGCTAAAAGCCACGCAAGACGCTATTACCAGCCTGCTGGTTACTCATGTGATGATGTGGCAATAAACACACGCTAAAGGCCGCGCAAGATGCGGAGGACTCGTCTGTTGCCTACAGACTTGACAATAGGCACAAGCTCGCGGCCACACAATACACGCAGCACTCGCCTGTTGCAGCAGATCTTCCACTTAGGTCCTGACGCAGGGTCCAGCACCAGCACGCCGCCCTCGCACTCCATGCACTGCGACACGCCCATCTTGTCGCGCCCAAACGCGCAGGTCGGGTGCAGGCAGTTGTTGCAGCCGCTGTTCTTCAGCATTCCCCTGTCAGCAAACAAAGTGTTAAGCACGATCACCAGACTTGATAACTTGAATTACTTACTTCATGGAAAAAGAGTAAATAAATGCAGATCAAATAAGGAGAGAAAATCTGAGCTGTAAATAATAAAAAGAGGAAATGACGCAGCCCTGAAGTAAAAAGACCACAAGAAGACTCACGGAAAGGGTGCGTTGTTGTAGCAGTAAGGACAGAATGTGTAGCTCCGGCCTTGACCGCCACCGCTGTATAACAGAAGCTGGAAGTCGTCCAGAGGGCATTTGTTTTCCTGGTATTCACGCACGTTGCCTAATTGAGGAATTATTGCAAATGAATATTCGAGCGTTCGTTCACCTTCAATTCATTTATTCACTCTTAGTGCTTAGTATCATTCTGAAAATCGCGAACGAATCCTATTTCTTTGCTCAAATATATATCATTTTTATCCACTCACGCTGGCAGCTCCCCAAATATTACATATATAATCGCAGTAACGAGCACTGGTGACAGAAACTAATATTAATTATTCCACTGCAAGAGAGGAGAGTGAAGAACTGACCACCAGGAGGCACGGCGTAGGTGTCGTCGCAGGTGGCGCAGTACAGGCGCTGGGGTTTGGTCTCGACGAGCTTCATGTAGCGCTTGCACTTGCCGCATCTGCTGACACAGGGTCGGTTAGCGCACAAGTCAGGCAAAGTATTCATAAATACAATAATTATATCTCAAAAATACATGCAAAAAATGAAATGAGGACCATCACAACAATGGCATTCAGAACGACCAGGCCGATTTCTCTTCATAAAATAAAAGCAACAATGAATTGTATTCATTATTGTTTGGCTTGAAAACACAAAAAAAACTTCACCTTGAGAAAGGTTTCCCAGATTCTGACAAGGGTGAGAAGGAGACTTCGAAGAGGTTATCCATGCCGCCGATGTTGCTCACAAAATACTGGAACTTGGCAGCGAATATATGCAGAGTGTGGCGCAGCACGGAGTCGAAGTCGGCCTTGCCAGCGGCGATGAGGTTAAGCTGCTCCTCGACGGCCGACCGCATCGTCGGCAGCACCAAGTCCACGTCGATCTGACCACAGTAACTCGCACTAGACTGCGTGGTCTACACGACTAGCTAAGCTTATTATTCAAACTTACTACTATAATACTAATAATTGCTGATAACTAGAGTTGCTAACTAAAAACCTTTGAATTATAGTTCCCAATAAGCGCACGTCAATTCACTTCAGCTGAAACTGAAACAAGAAAAATCTAGAAATGCTGACCTAACTACAACGCACGGATAACTATTACCACACTGCTTTCATCAGTTCGCTGACAAAATTACAGGGCTTACAAAGCACTTCCTAATTTCGCCGTACTTCATCCCAATGCCGACCAATAATCCCGACCACAAAGCTGACCTTTTGATAGCCATGCACGAGCACGATGCCCAGGTTGGTAGGTACGAGGCGGCGGCCGGACTCGACGGTGACGTAGTTACGCTGGCAGATGTTGTTGATGTGCACGGGGATGGAGGCGTCCGTGCCGATGCCGTGCTTCTCCATCAGCCCGATCACCTGAGCCTCCGTCAGGTAGTCAGGAGCCACGGTTTGACGTTCGTTCAGACGCGCCTGTCAATGACGAATCGAATAATTTATTAGAATTGATTTGATTAATAATTAAATTCGACCCAATAGCAGGCGCCATGAGTGACATCTCAAGAAAAAATGCTTTGCGAGCGAAGTTTATTCATTCAGTTGGTTGCCAATTCCAATTCAGGTATGGGTTCTCAAAGTTTCAACTAATTTGAAGAAATACTTGAAAGAATTTAATTAGTTGATGAAATATAAAAATAATTCAGTAAGAAAAAAAAAAGTTTTAACCAAGAAAGACTAATGTTTGATACAGCATCACACTCAAATCCAGGAATATTTTCGTTTTCATCATTCAGTGATATTGCTAGAAAAAATCGTGCGTGCTGGAATAAAAAAAAATTATATAATAAATCGAATAACAAAAAAAAAAAACGGTAATTTTTTTTCAGTCCTCACAAAAGGAGAACAAATTGCAGGGTGTGAATGATTATCCATCCAAATAATAGGCAATTCTCAGATTTAGAATATAAAAATTTCAGCCTAATAAAATCACCGCGGACAAGATGAATAAGGTCAACATGCATGAAGGCTAAAATATGGTCGGTTAAACAGACGTTTTCCCTAAGGCGTCTCAAGCTCCTAAAACTAATATTATAATATTTTAAGTCATAAGCTACAAAAATTATAACACAATTGATTACCACCAAAAATGAATTAGGTTTAGTATTGTTCCATTGATATCGTAAATAAATCCTAAATATGAAAATTTTTTATTTATGTTGCATCCTTAAATAAGGTAATAGTACGTGCACGTTGGCCAGAGGCTGTGGTAGAATCACACCGTGTGATAACATCCAAGTAAGCGAGTACGATAGCTATAAACTATGAACATTGAGTTAGGAATTAAACTGTATCTGCTAACCTAAACTCGCATCCAATTACATCTACGTAAAGCAACCTCAGTGATGGGGAGTTTGTCTCCCTCGACGAGGTCAGGAACTTTGCTCTCTTCATCCAACGCCAGCCAATCCATGACCTGGTCAAGTATAAGTAATTAGAGGAAAATACTGCGACGCATTAAGTTAGTAAATCCAGTCAATTATAGTCAATTGTACTAACGGATAAAAAGTTGAATTTCGTAAAAAATTGAAAACAAGTTACTTAAGTATAAAAATTAGGTGATTTGTGCAAACGAGTAATTTCTTGATTTTTCGTAAGCTAGATGAGCCCAATACTCAACAATATTTTTGAATATAGTTAGTAAATTCACCGAATTTGTTAGCCTCACAAAGAGTTCCAACTTGTTACGGTACGGCGCAAGTATCCACTAAAATTTAGGAGAACAATTTTATGTTCACAAACATATTTGAATTGGCATACCTTCGTAAAGCCAGGATCAAGAAGCTCGATGCCAGTGAGGGAGAAGACCTCGGAGCCGATGTTGAATGTCATGACTGTACTGAGGTACTTGCAGTCCGGCATCAGCTGTCAACAATACACATTACGTTAATGGTGTTGAATGTCATGACTGTACAGAGGTACTTGCAATCCGGCATCAGCTGTCAACAATACACATTACTTTAATGGTGTTAAAGGCAATCAATATACGGAAAATTGCAATCAAACGAACGCTGCCTGCTATTGCAGAATATTAGTGTCCCAGATAACTGACGATTCCGTTTCTGTTCATCAGCAGACAGCAGCTTGCACAATTTAAACCAAGATTCTCGTCCATGGCAAAAGTTCACTATTCTATCATGAACAATTATTAGGCCACGCACCAATATTCAAGGACACAAACTATGATGCCCTGGCTGTATCACAACTCCCTGATACGAAATACGTTTCCCTGATACGAAACACGATTCCCTGACACGAAACACGATTCGCCGACACAAAACACGATTCCCTGACACGAAACACGATTCGCTGACACGAAACATGATTCCCGGACACGAACCACGATTCCCTGACGCGAACCACGATTCCTCGACAAAAAAAAAACACGATTCCCTGACACAAAACACGATTCCCTGACACAAAACACGATTCCCTGACACAAAACACGATTCCTTGACACGAAACACGATTCGCCGACACAAAACACGATTCCCTCACACGAAACATGATTCGCTGACACGAAACATGATTCCCGGACACGAACCACGATTCCCTGACACGAACCACGATTCCCCGACGCAAAACACGATTCCCTGACACAAAACACGATTCCTTGACACAAAACACGATTCGCCGACACGAACCACGATATTTTGACATAAAGCAACATTTCTCAACACGTTAACGATGCCACTAAAGTGAACCAGGACCACGGGAGCCTCACAGTGCCAATGAAATGCTTGGTGATGTATTCGTAGATCCTCCAGGAGTCCAGGTCGAGGTGATGTCTTTCTGCCGCCCTCATGGGGGTGATGGGTGGATGGTCCCCTGCGTCGTGCCCCTTCTTGGGCCTGTTGATGCCCTCCCGCAGCAGCTCCCGCACCGTCGTGCCCCAGTCCTGGTGCCCCGCTTGTATCTGCAGCGCCCCGCTGCAAAATATAAGCGTTCTGAATCTACCTTATTCTTCAATCATGCTTATAATCAATTTTTTGGACTCTGAATTTTGGAGCCTTTTGAACTAGGTCTTGTTTGAACTCGCTTCCATGTCACTTTAATATTATATGTGATTAATTTTTAAAAATTGTGCAATAAATTCATGCAGAATACTTGACAAGCAAATTCACGTTTCTTTGTTGTCGATTAAGTTCTTGTCAATACGAATGGCCAGTACAAGCGTACCCCTCCTTTGACACCGAACACATTTGAAATCACGATTTTTCATTACAATATTTCTTTTGATGGGGTTGATTTCTTTCGAGCAGCGACGTCGGAACGAAATGGATTTCATTTAAACTAAATCTCGCACAATGAGTAACTACCATACTAACCATAAATGAGTAACTATTGTTACCACCACATCACCATACGATGCAACTCATATTCCATTAAATGTCATGCGATAATTACGCGGACTACAACTCCGGAGACCTCTAGAACACCCACATGAGGTCGAAGTTCTCAGGGTAGCTGGACGTCTCAGTTCTGGGGTAACTGATGTAGCCTTGCGTGTAGAGGCGCTCGGCCACCACCATGGCAGACTGCGGGCTCATGCCGAGACCTGCACTCGCGACCTTCATGAGCTCCACTGTGTTCAGGGCTTGTGGTCGCGCCTTCGTCTTCTCCTTAGAAATGATGCTCACCACGCTGCCAATTACAATGTTGGTAAGAAAACGGAGGGCTTTAGTTGATCCTATATAAATTTGGACCTGAAATTGGATTTTCATCTTCGTAGATCTTTAACTAACCAAGATGTACGAATATTAGCGTTTAGGAATAGCTTGCTATAGATATGTGTTTGGAATAACAAAAACTTTATATAAATGTGATACAGTTTCATAATTCAAGGATAAGGATCTTCTTCTTTGGTAGAAATAATGGAATATGTATAATTTATGATTATTTCCCCGTTTCTCACCTGGCAGTAG